AAGATCAAAATCAGCAACAGCCTAATTTAATGCGTCCCAAGAAATTTGAATCACCGAGATCCGCCCCTTTACCTCCCGGAAGGCAAGCGCAACAGCAGGAACAACAAGGATATATGAAGCAAGATTACCAGTATGCACAGCCACCAGGCCCCGCACAATCTCAGAGATCGCCTAACATACAACAGCAAACCCGACAACTCCCACCGGATTTTTCACAGACTCAATTGTCGCCAAATTCCTCACCGACTCAATTATCGCCTGATATACAACAACAAACTCGACAAATTCCACCAAATTATTCACAGGCTCAACTATCGCCTAATATACAGCAACAAACCAGACAAATCCCACCAAATTCTTCACAGACTCAATTATCGCCTGATATACAACAACAAACCCGACAAATTCCACCAAATTATTCACAGGCCCAACTATCGCCTAATATACAGCAACAAACCAGACAAATCCCACCAAATTCTTCACAGGCTCAACAGCCACCCAGCTTACAAACAACACGGCAAATTCCTCCACAGGTTCAGCAGCCAGATAACTTACAATCAACACGGCAAATTCCTCCACAGGTTCAGCAGCCAGCTAGTTTACAATCAACACGGCAAATTCCTCCACAGGTTCAGCAGCCAGCTAGCTTACAATCAACGCGGCAAATCTCTTCAAAAGCTCAATCGCCACTAGATCCACCATCAACGCGACAGATTCCTTCACAAGCTCAATCGCAAATGCCACCGCAATCTTCATCCGCTTACGTTTCGGAATCCTATCTCCAACCGCCTCCTCAGACTCGCCCGACAGAAACAACAGGAATAGATGACCCTTCCTCGATTGCAGAGCCACTTTCTGTAGATGATTACGTTCAACAAGCCATAAAGTTGCATGAGAGCAATCAGTTGGAGAAGTCTGCAGAATATTTAAAAATTGCCGCGGAGGAAGGTTCCCCTATTGGTATGACATTATATGGTCTTGCACTTAGACATGGATGGGTGAGTGTGAAAGTGGTGACGGAAAAAGGGATTAGGGGTTGGTTAGTCAGATTGTAAGAGGATAATATGAGTGGAAAGAAAGGCATGAATGAACCGAGTCGTATATGTTTCCTGGTTAAACGCTAGTCATGTTGTACGTTTAAAATACAGATTTCCTTTCTATGTTTGAAACAGTGTCAAACGATTGTTCTTTATGCCATGTCACTTATTTACACCTAATCGTGCTTTTTTTTTTCAGGGATGTCAAACAAATCCACGTCTAGCCTTCAAATACCTACAAAAAGCTGCCTCATCTGCCGTCGACGATATTAACATGTTAAATTCAGTCAATTTGTCAGCCACCAAGGGTGAATTGGTTTTAGCGATTTATGAGTTAGGAGTTTGTTTTCGACATGGATGGGGCGTACCAAAAGATAAGGTGCACGCTGCACATTATTTTGAAATGGCAGCAAAGTTGGTAGGTAGTTAGAGAGGAGGTGTGTGTATTGGGTGTTTGGGAGGTGTAATCAGGTGTCAATGTGGACTTACTTGTTTGATTGGGTAGGGCGATCCTGATGCACAAAATGATATTGGCATGTGTTATTACAAGGGTGAGGGCGTGAAGAAGGATTTGAAACTTGGTAAGTGATATCCACTTTTTGGCTTGTCGCATTTTCTTTGCCACGTGTATTAGTTGCTGACGATCATTCGTTTCTTAGCGGCCAAATATTACCGCATGGCGCACGCTCAAGGACATGGCACAATGGGCAATTCATGGATATTCAAAGAAAAATACAACGATGGCGAAGGCTAAGATTGTAAATATAGCATAAAATTGGTTTCTAGGACTGTTGCAAATTGGGCAATAATTCAAAAATCGTCTTGTTTATTTACGTATAGGTTTTTGCTTACATTATTCATTCCATTTGTTCGCTATTTTTCTTTTCTTTTTCTTTTCTCTTATCTGTACTCCTCTTCCAGATGTACATAGCCGTTTTTGATAGAACTCATGGTGCTTTACATAGATGTATAATATGTGACCGGTATTTATTTCACATGTGGGTTCGAATAATAAACCACAAACACAATGCGAAAAAGTAATATAATTAATATAACAGTAAACTGCAGCGAGAGAATTAATATGTTTTTTCATGTCAACACGTTGCAGTGCAAATACAAGGTTGATGTTTCTATAAACAAAAGTATGCAAACGATTCTCGTGCTCATTCTCCAAGTTCGCTATCTCATTGACAGGCAAGTTTATTATACAGTAATTGAGTTGTCACACTGCACACAGTTATCGCTGACGATTAGCGTAGTCATTTGCTATTCACGATCGTAATTGTACCGAATTGAGTTATAAATAGCAAGCAGCTAAAAAAAGCAAAATTATAACAATAACAGGCTCTTCCTATGTACATATACCAAAGCAACAGCATCGGTGACTGAATGACAATTACATTCTTTCATGTTGTAAAAAACAATCGAATTAGAAGAACAATGTCAACTTATTCCCACGAAGGAATCGCGCGCCCCTGAAATCTGTAAATAAATGACATATTTGCTGCGTAACTCCTTACTGCGGCACATTCTCATGACTTTTTAAATAGATCGCACACATTCTCGATTAACGACCGCACATTGTAACATGAGCTTGGACATTGGCAAATCAGTCGTCTGTCTTGTTTACCAAAGATATCCTATCGCCTCCCATTATTGTTCCAGGTGCAATGCGGACTATACTACCTGTACATATCTATCTATATGTGCGAGGTGTCTTTCCGAGATAGCCGAAAATCAGTCGCAGAGTTGGTCGAGTGGGAATGCCGATGTAGACAAGTTTATATTAGATGCACAACGTAGCGCCAAGGCCGTCTCTGAAATAATTGAATGGATTCCGTATGACGATTTTGTAGACGGGCAGTCATTAGCAAAAGGAGGATTTTCGATAATCTACAAAGCAACTTGGAAACAAGGACCGTGGACAACAAGGGTTAACGAATATGAGATACCAGCGTACTGTGAGCGTGAGGGTCCGACACAAGTTGTACTTAAGGAATTGATCGGATCTCAAAATATCTCGACGAGATATCTAAAAGAAGTGAGTACGAGTGTAACCAAAGACGATGTTACGATTTTATTTTTTTACAAATGAATTATCCTCTTTTCTTAGGTGCAATTGTATTTACTGTTTATAAAAAAATATAAGCACCAGGGACCTAGAGTCTATGGTATTACCAAAAATCATGCTACTAATAATTTCGCGTTGGTCATGGAGTTTGTACCTGGTGGAGATTTGAGACAGCTTTTAATAAAAAATCCAAAGACATTCACTTGGGAACGGCGTATATCCTTTTTATGTAAATTGGCACAGCAGCTGCAGAGTTTACACAATGAAAATTTTATCCATGGGGACTTTCACAGTGGAAATATTTTGTGTGATTCAGATGAAGATTTTGAAAACATTTCAGTTATAATAACAGACATGGGTTTAGCTGGTCCTTCTGACAAGGAGCACACTGATAATGAATTAGAGCCATTATATGGAGTAGTTGCATATACGGCACCGGAAGTTCTTCAAGGTCAACCTAAATCCAAGGAATCTGATATATATGCTTTTGGCATAATTATGTGGGAAATTTCATCAGGAAAGCCAGCATTTTATGAATATGATGACATGATCAGTTTGGTACTTAATATTTGTGAAGGAACAAGACCTGCTGTTGTTTCTGATACACCAGATTGCTACATAGAGTTAATGAAGGCATGTTGGACACCTGATCCAAGTGAGAGACCCACCATAGAAGAGATAATAAAGCACTTGGAAAACTTTTCTAAAAAAAGTGATCATTCTCCAATGGTCAATAAATATGAATATTTATCATTTGTAAAGGCGGAAAAGGCTAGAATAAACAAAGAGTCTAATCATAATGGATTAAGCTTTGATGGCAGATATACCAGCAAATTTATTGACTATAGTGTTAAAGAGAATGTTACAAACAGGTATCAGACAGTGTGAGTATTTTAATCTTGTAATTTTGGTAATAAATAATTTGTGATTTATGATGTTAATACTGACTATATGTATTTATTAAATTAAACAGGCATATCAGTTAAACTAACAGCAAGTTTATGGACATTAATATATAGAAACTTTTCTAAATACTAATTGTAAAATTGATGTGGATGACTCAAATGTTGTAATATATGTTTTTCTCAATCAGTGTAAGTGTACTATAGTGTAATATTAATGAGGTATTTTTTTGCTTTCAGCTGGGACTACTACTACTACTACTGCTTTGATTATTAAATTCTTTCTATGGAATATTAATTCATTGTTGAAGTACAATTTGTGAAGATAAAATGTAATAATAGTGGATGTTGAAGGGAATGGGTGGACACACACCCAGATACCTGCACATATCATTAAAATTACAATTGCAATTACAATGATATGGCATTCTAGAAATTTGAATTGAAAGGCAGTTGAAATTAAGCAAGTTTGTTTAATTAAAGTAGGTTGATTATAAGAGTATAAAATTGACAGAAATTTAAGCCATT